TGCATCTCCCTCCCCAGCAGAGGGGAAGACGAGCCTGCGGGAGGCCTTTACCGCCTGGGGTTGAGTGCTTCCTAAAACTGGACTCACCTGTGACATGAGGGGTCTCCCAAACCTCAGCCCAGACCCACATTTCCACCTCCCTTGCTGAGGAGGATGTACAGGCAAAACAAAAAACTACACTGCACTGGGAGTCATGAAACTCACATCCCGTCCCAGCTTTTCTTTTTCTGCCTTTTTATTTTTAAAATGAGCATAGTACCCCAAGTGACCTCTAAGGACTATCCCTGCGCTGGAACCATGGATGTGAACCACAGCCTGCCTTGGGGGAGATGGCAAGGGAAGGGGAACCAGAAACCTCCCCCCAAAAAAAGCCTCTAACCTTAAGGGGTCCATTAGCACTCTCAAATTACAGGCACATATATATGTGTTTTGCTTTTCTTCTTCAGAAAACAGTGAGTTGCAGACAGTCTCACATTCTCAAACTTCTGCTCTAAACTGGCAACATTTAAAGAGTCTATTTGGGAACTTTGGCCAAGATTTGGAACCCCAGCACCCTCCTATTGTCTTGGTAAAAATGAGAGCGGATGCAGCCCTGTTTCCTAACGCTGATGTAACAAATTACCACGAACTTAACAGTAACACAAACGTATTACTTACAATTATGCACACAAAAAGACATAAGTCTCTTAGTCACCAGATGAGAATCAACGTGTCGGCAAAGCTGGTTCTTTCTGGAGCACCAGAGAACAACTCGTTTCTGTTTCTTGCTTCTAGAAGCTGTTGGCTCGTGACTGCATCCCCTCCATCCTCACTTCCATCCTCACGTAACCTTTCCCACTGACGCCAACCCACCTGCCTTCCACTTATAAAGACCCTTGTGACTACATTGGATCCACCTGGAAAACCCAGGGTACTCTCCCTGTCTCAGGATTTTTAACTTAATCGCATCTACAAAATCTGTTTTACAATGTAAGGTAACAAATTTACAGGTTTCAGGAATCAAGATATGGGTGGGGATTGTGAATATTCAGCCTACCAGAGGCCTTTTGAATCGTTCTATCCTGTAGCCCAACAATTCCACTTGCAGAGTTTATCCTACAGAGACAGACATGTGTAAAGAGGTAACGTCCACACAGCAGAGTTTATAATATTTAAACTGGAAACAGCCTGTTCTACTGATAATCAGTAGAAACGTAACTAAATGAGCTAGGAATATTTGTACATTATTCTAAAAGGATGCAGTATTCTAAAAATAAGTATATTAAATGTACTAACATGAAAAAGTCTCTAAGGCACGTTGCTAGGAGAAAAGCAGCTTGAAATAAAAGCTGTATAATGTGACTCCGTGTTGTGGTACGTATATGTAATTTCTGGATGGCTATCAGCCTGGCCAACATGACAAAATGCCTCTCTACTAAAAATGCAAAAATTATCTGTGTGTAGCGGCATGTGCCTATAAAGCCAGCTCCTAGGGAGGCTGAAGCAGGAGAATCACTTGAACCTGGGAGGCAGAGGTTGCGGTGAGCCGAGATTGTGCCACTGAACTCCAGCCTGGGCCACAGAGGGAAAATGTGTCTCAAAAAAAAAAAAAAAAAAGCCAAAATTTCTTTTGGTCATTCTGAGGGCTGGAAATGTTCCATATCTTATCTGAATGGCAGAATGTATGCATGTATGAAAACCCACTGACCTTCACACCAAACATTTGTGCACTATTCTGTGAAGTTCTGCCTCAATAAAAAAAAGTGCATTCAAAAATATAGGATGTTTCCCCCCTTTGGCCAAAAGCCAAGGGTTATTGATCTGTGTGTCCTTCTGAAATTCAGTGCAAAGGTGGTGTGTGCCTCTTTCTGGGCAAGTGTTGACCCTTTTTGTCAGATTCTTAAAGGGATCTGGAGCTCCTAAAAAGTTAAAAATTACTAGTGAGGGCCTTCCTTAAAATAAAGACTACTTATTCCTGGTTCTGTTGGGGTTTAACTAAAGGTCAGACCGCTCTATCAGCGCAGGCTTTCTGGAAATGCAGGCCTCGAGAAAGGGAGGCACCAGCGTATTTACTGGGCTGGCTGCAGACAAACAGCTACATTTTTTTCTATGGGGAGCAAAATGCAGGTAATGATCACTTCTTGAGCTTTAGCGCGACTGTTTAAAAAGGCGTGGCTTTTTATTGGCCCAGCGCCTTTGTGTGCAGCGAATCCCGAGGCGGGCGGCTGTGCCCTCGCCCTGGTGGGCGGAGCTCTGCCCAGCCCTGCAGGCCCTTGCACATCAGGCCGTCCCCCTTCGCGCTGGCTGGGCGGAGGCCCTGGGTAGCAGAGGGACAGCTTAAGCCCCCGCCTAACCCGACAGGCCTGAAGAAAGCTTACCCCACGCTCTGGATTCCTCTGGGGTCCCTTATCTAGGCCCGACCCGCAAACCAGAATTTCCAGTGTGACTGTGTTGGCAGAGAGTTAATGAGCAGCCGAGGAGGCTGTGGCTGTCGCTGCTGTAGACTTGCCCAAGAGGGAAGGACACACTTAACATTTGTGCCCTATTCTCTGTGAATAGTGCGCAAAGGAACTTAGGAACGCAGGTCCTTAGTCTCTCTGCTTGGAACGAGGCAGCTGGGAAGGATACATCTCAGGGAGGGGAGGGAATCGGCAAACTGAAACCCTAGCCCCATATATTGAGTTTCTATGGATGGATACCAGCCCCCGTGCTACAGAAATGTTTTACATAAAAGAATGGGCTCTGAAGCCAGGCTCAGCCCATCTGTAGCTGCGTGGCCCCCCGCAAGTTGCTTATCTTTTCTCTCTGCTAGGATCCTCCTCCGTAATGTGGCATAACAGTGGTACCACCCCCAGTCTCCAGTTTAATTCTAAGCTGGCCCTCCTAGCCCTCTGATTTTTTTTTTAAAGACTGAGATATAATCCACTTACCATGAAGTTTATCCTTTTAAAGTATATCATTCAGTGGTTTTTAGTATCTTCACAAAGTTGTGCGACCATTTCTACTAATTCCAGAACATTCTTGCTCCCAAAACAAGGGTCCCCCTAGCAGTCACTCTCCATTCTCCACTCCCCTCAGCCCCTGGGGACATTCATTTACTTTTTGCCTTTCCTGATTTTCCTCTTCTGGAGATTTCATAGAAATGGAATCATATATGTGGCCTTCTGTGTCTGGTGTCTTCCACTTAGCATAGTGCTTTCAACGCTCATCCACGCCTCCCATGGTGCGTCTCCTACTTCATTGCTTTCTGTGGCTGCCATTTCATAGATGTGCCACATTTTGTTTATTCATTCATCAGTTGATAGATATTTGGGATGTTGCCATATTTTGGCTATTATAAATAATGCTGCTATGAGCTAACATTCATGTACAAGTTTTTGTGTGGACATAGGTCTTCATTTGTTTGAGTGTATAGTAAGGACGGATAATTTTATCTTATACCATTCTCTCCCTCCCCATCATAAGGGCCCTCTTTCTGTCCCTCCAGCAAACCAAGCTCATTCTCACCTCAGGGGTTTTGGCCTAGCTGTCCCCTCTGTCTGGAAGGCTGCTCCCCCAGATTGTTAAGTACAGTTCACTCCTTATCAATCAGATCTCAGTTTAAATATCGCCGCCTCAGTGAGGCCTTCCCAGACCATTTTATTCATTCTCTGACCCTTACCATATTTTACTTTCTCTATATCCATTATTACATTCTAATCTATTTTCTAATTTACTTATTTGTGGCATATCTACCCCTTCTATTACTAGAACTAAGCTCCATAAAGCCAGGTATTTTGTCTATTATGACATTAGCTATCACTGGCTGCTAGAACAGTGCATAGCACGTAGTAAGCACGTAGTAAACATTAGCTGTTACTCATACTTCACAGCACACTTAGGAAGTAGGTACCATTATTATGCACATGTTACAAATGAAGAAACTGAGACTCAAAGGAGTTAAGTAACTTGGCCAAAATTATGCAACTGGGAAGTGTATAGCCTGGGTTTGGTGCCAGGACTGTCTGGTTCAGAAGCCGGTGCTGCTTGTAGGATGCTGTACTGCTTCTTTCGGCTCCTTCTTCCAGACCTATCTAGCCTCACAAACTGGCAATTCCAACCAGGACTCCTCTGGGCTTAGGAGACAGGGAGACGAAACAGAAATGTGGATGTCGTCCAATCTGGCAGCACCACGAGGCCTGGCCCTGGAGCGGGTCGGGGAGGAGGATAGGAGCACTCAGCTCCTGGGAGCTTTGGCTGGAAAACAGGCCTCCCCAGAGCTGCCAGCCAAGGCCTGGTCTCCCTCCAGCAAGTCCCTGTGAGCCCTGGCAAGCAGCAGGCATTCTCAGACAGCAGGCCTTCGGTACCGCGTATACTCAGGTGGACTTCCTTTTATGCAAAACTCCAACAGGCATACCAATAACTGACTTCATGCCTGGTGCTGTTCTAAATACTTTCCATGTATTAACTCACTGGATCCCCAAATTAGCATCATGAGGTATGTATCATATTACCTCATGTAACTGATGAGGAGATTGAGGCCTCGGATGGTTAAGCAAACTGCTCAAGGTCACAAGGCTAAAGAATGGTAGAGGCGAGACATAAGCTCTGGTTATCTGACCTGAGGTTCCTTCTTTTACTTGCCACTCTACCCTGCATCTCAGTAATGGATTTGAGAATAAGTCTTCATGTACAAAAGTATTCACCACTGGATAGCTGTGTGACCTAAACTCTAAATCCAAAGCTCTCTGGCCTTTAATTGCCTTATGTGTATTAATGGATAAGAATCAGCTTATCTTCCATGAGTATTCTTTAGAAAAAGATGCTAATATGTATTATGGCTGTGGTCAGGGTTAAGCTAAATTAGGTGGAACTCTTTGCAGCAGGATTTATCAGTGCCTTTAATATGCTAATGTCCAATGGGTCTCTTCAAGAGAGGGGTTGAGGATGTAGCATTTCCCAAACTTCATTGACACAGAACAATGTGGAATAGTATTCCATGGAACACAGTTGGCAAACACTCATTTTAAAAGCTTATTTGGGCTAGGCACAGTGGCTAACACCTGCAATCTCATCACTTTGGGAGACTGAGGCAGGAGGATCACTTACGCCCAGGAGTTCAGCACTAAACCTGGATAACATAGCAAGACCCTGTCTCTTGGGATGGTTTGCTGAACCCGTTAGTACGCCCGGCCAAGACACGCCGCCGCCATGTCTCGCTACCTGCGTCCCCCTAACACATCTCTGTTCGTCAGGAACGTGGCCGACGACACCAGGTCTGAAGATTTACGGCGTGAATTTGGTCGTTATGGTCCTATAGTTGATGTGTATGTTCCACTTGATTTCTACACTCGCCGTCCAAGAGGATTTGCTTATGTTCAATTTGAGGATGTTCGTGATGCTGAAGATGCTTTACATAATTCAGACAGAAAGTGGATTTGTGGACGGCAGATTGAATACAGTTTGCCCAGGGGGATCGGAAGACACCAAATCAGATGAAAGCCAAGGAAGGGAAGAATGTGTACAGTTCTTCACACTATGATGATTATAACAGATACAGACATTCAAGAAGCCGAAGTTACGAAAGAAGGAGATCAAGAAGTCGGTCTTTTGATTACAACTATAGAAGATTGTATAGTCCTAGAAATAGACCGACTGGAAGACCACGGCGTAGCAGAAGCCACTCCGACAATGATAGACCAAACTGCAGCTGGAATACCCAGTACAGTTCTGCTTACTACACATCAAGAAAGATCTGAAAGCAGAAAAAGAACCAAAGAAGGGCAGTTCAAGCGACCAAAGGGTGGGTGGAAGGTGCTGCAGTATGAATACTGTACGAATATTTTGACTCTGGTCTGAAAAGATAAAAGAATGTTATCGAAAACTACATGGAATAATTGAAGTCCCTTCAAGTTTGAAAGTAAGCATTTTAGGACAAATAAAAGGAAATTCAACTTTGTACTTGTGGAAACTAATCCCTAAATATGAATAGGTTTATATTGATTCATGGGTACCAGATCCATAACAAATTATTGGAAAATAGGATGTCTGAATATCAAGGAAGACAGCCATAGTCTCTTACAGTGCCTCTGTTGGTCTGTCTCAAACTGAATTGGGTGGGAAAAGGTATGGTCCAATATAAAAGTTCCATTTTTGCCATTATTGGCAAATCTTGCCTTTGTTTATTTTGGTGCCAGTGTTTTCTGCTTAATCATTTGCTTTGTTGGCATCTGCATTTATTTACTTGTACACCACATGGCAGTTTACATCTTCCTTAACTACTCTCCTTCCCAGGTAAATTCGAATTACATTTGACATCCAGCTAAGAGGGCCCATCTCTTCTCACCTCTTTACTAGTCAATATGTTCAGCAAATATTTATTGAGCCCTTACTATGGGCAAATCATTGTACTGGATAATTGAGGAGAAAAATAGATAATTCCCTTATTCGGTGAATGTCTACCGAGCACAATCTAGTGAATCATTACAGTATCACCTCGTTGTTTTGTTTGAGGTATATTATTCGTAACAATATTTTACACCATTCATATCAATGTAATTATAGAACCCAATGTGCTATCAAGAATAAGTAATTATGTGGTTATTCTGGCATTTAAAAGTATCCAGTATTTGTTTGATCCCAATATTACAAATAATGAAAAAATGATTTGTTTTAATCTGTAATAAACTGGTTTATTGTGCAGTGACTGTAATATACTAGAGTTATATTAAAGTGCTCACTCTGCCTCACCAAACACATACTAGGAAATAACCCCCAAAATAAGTATTTAACTTTGCATTAGATATAAAGGATACTGGGTGCTATAATTAGATTATTTTGAGGCAGACAGCTGTTATCCCAACTCATTTAGTGTGTTCTGTAATTGAAAAAATGTTCACCAAATTATACTTTTTAGTGATTTACATGTACATTTTATAGGGGACGTGTTCTGTGTATAGTGAATAAATAACTTTTATAGTATCACGAAATGTTTTAGATTCCTTAGTTTCTTATTAGGATGTTTCTTTACCTATACATTGATTCCATCATGTTTGACTTTTGTCTTCTTTTTGCCACATATTTAAAACTTTCCATGTAAAATTATTAACAAAAAATCTGGAAGTGGAGTTTAAGCTTTTAATTTATAGCAATTTTGAAAATACAGCAGAGGTATATTTTCAAGGGAGGTATGAAATGGTACTTTTGTCTGTATTTTATTTTATAATTTTTTTTGAACTTGCCCAGGATCACACAGCAAGTGTCAGATCTTAGGTTAAAGTCCAAAATTTTTTCACATGCTTCATCTTTTGTTATATTTTTGTTGTTGTTTAATCAAACGGGGAAATGTTTTTATATCTTTATTTTCATGGAGATAGCAAAATTGATATAATGGGAACTAGAATTTACTTAGAGCCAAAATGACTAGATTTAATTACAAAAAGTATTTTGTTGTATACAGTTACACACTCATTAACATAGTGGGTGGTTCTTATGGATAGAGGTTCTCTGTATTTTTAAAAGAATACGTAGAGTTCATAAACGTTTTTTGCCCTCTACCTCCCTTCTTTCTCCATTTCCTTTTGAATTAAGACATTTAAGGGGGAGAGTTAAGTTGCATATTGAGTTGGGATTTTGTTTAAAAATAGGTGAATACATATATAAATACAATAACAATAGTTGGTAGTTCTCTAAAATATTGTAAGTCAGAAAAGGACCTTTAATTTTTGTATCTGTTGAATGAATTGCTTTCGGATCTCTTCTGTGGTTGTTTCTCTTTATATTGAATGCTGTCAATATTGTTGAGGACTTAGTGTGCCAAACCATGTGCTTTTCAAATATTTAATTCTAAAAACACTCCTGGGAAGTGGGTATTATTCCCATTTTACAGATGAGAAAATTGTCCCACCGTGTGATAGCATCTTGCATATGTTCATTCCTCACAACTTTACAAGGTAAATGGATAATGTTCCTGGGTGAGAGATTAAATATAATCCAAGATCTCACGGCTGTGTGGCTCAGAGACTCTAAGCATGGCTTTCCAAATCTCATTCTCTTGTAGAGATTTTCCATTGTATTGCATTTTGACCATATTCTTGTTTACAAAACCTAAGAATATATTCGGGAGGCTGTGACTTGAGCAATAGCTTAGGAATAATCTAATGGCATTTTAATAGGAAGGAGGACTAGCAAAACCTGTAGAAGTCCCAGGCATGAACTGTGGTCATTTTAGATAGGATGACTTGATAAATAGGGTGAAGTGAGCAACGTGTTTTGTCTTCAGTTATTGATACCTACAAGACATTCTGCTGGTCACTGTGGAAAAGGTTCCTTCTCAGATTTTTTCCTCTGCTCCTTCCTCTAACAGTGTTGGTTATCTTTATTATGTTTCTGTGTATTTGTAACAGCTATTACACCCTTGTATTGCACAATGGGGATTTTTCTTGGAATAAAAAGTGAGGCATGTAAACTCATTGAGAACTAAAGAAGTAAAAGGACTTTGTATCTAGTTTTTTGCAGATCACATTTCTTTGAATGCTGGAAAGTGAAATAAAGTGGTCTAGGAGCCAAAAAAAAAAAAAAAAAGACCCTGTCTCTTAAAAAAATTAATTAAAAAAAAATTAGCCAGGTGTAGTGGCACTCACCTATAGTCCCAGCTACTTGGGAGGATGAGGCAGAAAGATCACTGGAGCCCAGGAGTTAAAGGCTGTACTGAGCTATGATTGCCCCACTGTTCTCCAGCCTGGGCAATATAGCAAGACCCAGTCTAAATATTAAAAAAAAAAAAAAAATAGCTTGTTTGGAAAAAAAAGTTCATTTATTCTGAGATTGGACAGAATTCTCTTCTCTTTCCCTATTTTCACCTGCTAAAAAGAAAGGAGCTTGTAAACAATCATCAACTCCTTCAAGCCTGCGGGGACTTTTGGTTAGCATGGAGATGAAGAACGGAAAGGGAACACATTTGCTGAGCACCTACTATACGCCAACTCTGTGATTATCACTTAGATTGTTTTTCATGATGCTGAAAACAGCCCTTTGAAGCAGGTTTTATTTGAAAAAGGTGGGATAATGTTGCAGATGAAAATGTAGCCTTTGGAGTCTGATAAACATGAGTTTGCCTCTTAGCTATGCCACTTGACAGCTATAGCTGTGTGAACTTGGGCAAGTCGCTTAGCTGTTCTATGCCTCGGTTTCCTGCTTGCCAAAATGGATGATACAGTGCCTACCTAATATGGTTGTCATGTGGCTTTGCTGATGTAATGCATGAGAGGCACTTACATAGACTCCGCACACAGCAGGATTATCACTGTCCTCTTCATTATTTGTGGGGCTTTGTTTGTTTGTTTGTTTTGAGATGGAGTCTCACTCTGTCATGCAGGCTGGAGTGCAATGGCTTCATCTCAGCTCACTGCAACCTCCACCTCCTGTGTTCAAATAGTTCTCCCACCTCAGCCTACTGAGTAGCTGGGATTACAGGCGCCTACCACAATACCCAGCTAATTTTTTGTATTTTTAGTAGAGATGGGGTTTCACCATGTTGATCAGGCTGGTCCCGAACTCCTGACTTCATGATCCGCCCACCTCAGCCTCCCAAAGTACTGAGATTACAGGTGTGAGCCATTGCTCCTGGTTGCATTATTTGTGTTTTCCAGATCATACAGCAGAGACCCAGAAAGGATAGTAACTTGCCTAAGGCCACATAGCTACTGTGTGTGGCTGAACTGAGACCCATACACAACTCCAAACCTGCTCTTTCTCTCCAGGATCCCTGAAGGAGGCTAAGCCAATATCATCTGAACTTGCAAATAAAACCTCTCGTTCTCTCCACGCCTCACACCACATGCCACCCGGGAGTGAGTGGGAATTTCCCTTTGGAACCCAGACCCTACCACCCATGCATAAGTGTTCAGACCTGCTTGGCAACAGCATGCCCATGACCCCAGGCCCTGACAAATAGGCCTGGAGAACTGAGAAGGTCCTGAATCTCTGGACATCCCTTTATGAGCCTCTCTATACAGGGAACATTCCATAAAAGCCATGGCCAGTGCACATGCTATATGCATAGGAAGCCACATGGTCCCTGCTGTTGACCTGGGATCTTCCAAGTCCCAGCATAGGTGGGGATGCCTCCGTGGCAGTCACAGGGGAGGGTCAGCAGGGGGACAGCATGGAGGCCAAGGGGACAGGGTTCCAGGCTCTGGGCCTAAATCAACTAAAGCAGCTGCTCTTGAAAGAAGTTTGTATGTTGTCCTATGTAACTTTCTATCTGAAAAAAAAGGCTTGCTGTCTACCCCTATACCACCAAAAAATAAAGTTTTAAACGCCACTGATCTAGTTCCTCATTTTCATTGGGCATTTTGGGAAAACAGGCCCAGGTGGGAAGAAACAGCTGCAGGTCCCAGTGTGTTAGTGACAGAATAGGGACTGAAACTTACATCTCCTGTCTCTTTTTATACCAGCCTGTCAAACAGCAGAGTCTGAGATTTTTTTTTTTTTTAACCGAAAGGGAAAGCAGAGCCTAAGTTTGCTGTTCATGTTCAAGTTGACTTTAGAATCAATCTTCCCTCTGGCCACACTCAAAGCTCACTGTGTTCCTACCCAATCTGTTCCCGTATACCGAATGCTGTAGGTCCACACAGGCCCAGGGGATGAGCGGAACTACAGTCCCCCTCGATCCTCCACCACCAGGTTTCTGCCCTTACAGTTGCCAGTAAGAAGCAAACGGTAGGGAACAAGGAGCACAGAGTGAATCCCAGCTTAGCTACTTATTCTCTGTGTGAACCTGAGCAAGTCACTTGACCTCACAAAGTCTCACTGCCATCAGCTGTAAATTTGGGGTAACTTTATGGAGTTTCCATGAATTTCATGTGCCATGAAGTTATCCTAACATGGGACTGCTGTAAGGATTAGAGGCAATATGCGTAAAGAGCCTGCAACATGGAAGTGGTAGAACAAGTAATAGTTAATATTGTTTTAACTATAGCTGGTTTTTGACAAGATCTGAAGTTCTTATACATAACTTAAGTGCATTAGGCTCTCTGCACACCTACATCAAGGCCAAGCAATGCTGCACTTCCACATGCGTGCGTTGGAGTGAGCCCTGCCCTTGGCAGTCATTCCACATTCTTCCACCTGTAGGCAGATATTTGATGGGAGAATCCCATAGATGCAGTTGGGTCGGCCTGAGAAGAAACTGGCTCTAGAATTAGTCTGCTGGGTTTCATTATGGCTCTACTATTTAATAGCAGACAAGTTTCTCAATATCCCTGAGCCTCAGTTTTGTCATCTCTAAAATGGGAATAATAGCAGTCTCTAATTCTTAGGCTTGTTTTGAGGACTGAATGGGATAACACCTGTGAAAACCTTAGTGCACTGGCTCACCTTTAAAAACTGGCCAAAAACTATTAACTCATGATTGGTCCTAAGGTCTGTCCTTTCTGCTCAGAAAGCAAAGAGAAAGGCTGGGTGCAATGGCTCATGCCCATAATCCCAGCACTTTGGGAGGCCAAGGTGGGCAGATCGTTTGAAGTCAGGAGTTTGAGACCAGCCTGGCCAACATGGTGAAACCCCATCTATACTACAAATATAAAAATTAGCTGGGCATGGTGGCGCACACCTGTAATCCCATCTATTTGGGAGGCTGAGGTGAGAGAATCACTTGAGCCCGGTGAGTGTGGAGGTTGCAGTGAACTGAGATCATGCCACTGCACTCTAGCCTGGTTGATACAGTGACACCCTGTCTCAAAAAAAAAAAAAAAAAAAAAAAAAAAAAAAAAAAAAAAAAAAAAAAAGAAAGAAAAAAAGAAAAAGAAAGAAAGAGAGAGATAAAAGTGCTGGGTTGGGGGCCAGGTGCAGTGGCTTATGCCTGTAATCCCAGCACTTTGGGAGGCCGAGGCAGGAGGATCACCTGAGGTCAGGAGTTAGACACCAGCCTGGCCAACATGGAGAAATGCCGTCTCTACTAAAAATACAAAAGTTAGCCTGGCGTGATGGTGGGAGCCTATAATCCCAGCTACTTGGGAGGCTGAGGCAGGAGAATCACTTGAACCCGAGAGGCAGAGGTTGCAGTGAGCCAAGATTGCACCACAGCACTCCAGCCTGGGCAACAAGAGCAAAACTCTGTGCCCCCCAAAAAAATATGCTGGGTTGGGATTCCAGTGACTTCGAGTCAAGTGCTGATTCTGCCACAAATTAGCTGAGTGCTGTTAGACACGACCTTGCTTGCTCCCTGTCTGTATTTCAGTTTCCCCAGCAACTTCAAACCCAAGGGGCTGGATTAGACAAACCCTCTCTGACTCTGGAGAAGGGCTGATGAGAAGGTTATGTAGCTGCCCCCAGAAGGGCTGAGGAGAAGGTGATATAACTGTGTCTGGATGGCCCCAGTCTTCCCACACAGAGGAGGGTCAGGAAGGGGACTAATCCTCAAACTAGTGGCCTCATCAAACCAGTGCCTTAGTTCAGGGAGCGGTTATTGAAATGCACAATCCCAGCTTGAAATTCTCTATCACTGTGTGTGACCTTATGAAAGTCACTTCACCTCTCTGAGCCTCAGTTCTTTCATCTGTAAGATGGGATTTAAAGTGGTACCAGAGTAAGGAATTGTAAGAGCACATGAGGTGATGTCTGCTAAGTGCTTAGCACACAGAGCTCGGTAAAGTGTTGGTTTAGTAATCATTATTGATGCCAGTGGACCCCATTGTTGGAAATGGTGCTTTTTTTAGAACCAGAGCAAGCACATGTGTCCATTCCAAGTCTTATTTCTGATGTCGGCAAAGCTCTTTATGAGGACAGAAGCCATCCCAGGGACACACCTGAAAAGGGATGGGCCAGCCTCTGCATGCTGACCATCCAGATTCCATGACTTCCCGTCAGCCTGAAGGAGGTGACAACCATCTGTCTTTCCCCACCCTGCCTGGAAGACCAGCTGGGCAAGGCTGGGAAGGACTTCAGACTATATCTTGCCCGGTCCTCTTACCCAACTAGGATGTAAGAAGACGAGGTGACCCATCCAGGTCTCACTAGACCTAGGACTGCACGGCAGTATGTGCGGTATTGAAAAGAGTATTTGGGTTTGATTTTTCGCTTCTCAAGTTAAGACTAAGAGTCCTCACGGGACTTCAGTTTCCTCATCTGGAAAATAGATGTAATAACAGACTCTCCTCCCAGGGTTGTTGCAAAGATTAAGTGAAGATTAAACATAACATGAGCCACAAATGTGATGTCTCTCCTCTCTACTCCTGCGCTAGTAATCTTTGACCATAGCACACCGAAAACACACAATGCACTGATTGGTGGAGTTCCTGTTGCAAAGCTGTATAGAGCAGCAGAGTTGGTCTGGGGTGCTATTGAGCTGAACCCCTATTAACCTCAATAGGGAAGGTACCAGGTTCAAGGGCTGAAGAAGAGGCCCAGAGCCAGCAAATGAGAGGTGGGGTTTGATTGGCGGCTTACATACAGGCGACTTACATACAGT